CTGCAGACTGCAAAACAATTTTTTCGAGAACTACAAACGTGAAATGCGGGTCGGCGGGTGCGGGGTCTGCTAGAGATGCTCTAACGCGTGAGGTGAAGAACTCACGTGGTAATACAATTGTACATGCGTGCACTCAACTAAATCGCACTTGAACCAAATACAGCCGCGACGTCAGCCTTTTCAAGGTGAGCAGCTAGCCGGCGAACCACATTTTTGTTGGACAGCCCAGCTCGCCGGCGACCTCCCCCCAACAGATTAAACCCTAACACCCGCTAGTTCATTAATCCACGGCCAGCCAGAGACGCACATCACATATGCACCCGATTAGTCGTAGCCACGACCGAATACTTCACGCTAGATTATTAATCTGCCATCGTCGGTCACGCTAGTTTATAATCCGCCGCCGGCCAGCAACTCAGAATACATATGGGCATGATCTCCCAGTGCGCGAAACCTGCAAAAAAAAAAAGAATCCAACAAAAAGATAATGTATAAAAGCCTAATAAGATTGTCAGAGCAGTCAAAACTCAAAATAAAGCTCAAAGAGGTAGGCCAAACGGCATCAGAACGACCTGACATTGTTGATCAAGTGTTCCACATAAAGCTCAAGGAATTCATGCGAGACATAAAGAAAAGAGAATACTTAGGAAGAACACAAGCATGTAATAGCCTGCTAAATTATAATAAACTGTTATTTACTATTCCTCGCAATTTAACTTACACCTACTATTTTGGTTGGAGTTATCTACACAATAAAGAACATGCCATCTTCTCAGACTCCACTGACTTAACAAAGATGGTAAGAAAGGAAAGGGCAGGAGTAACTAAATTTTAAGAAGTGTATGGAAACAAACAAGCACTATGAAGAAGCCAGATAATTAACAGATGCAGAGTTCCAGGCAAAATGGGTATGGAAAAGGGGGGGAAAGGGGAACAGGAGCAAAGGGCAGATCTGTTGGAAGGATTTACTATGCTCATCCAGCAAGCGGTCAGAAATACTACATGAGAATGCTACTTAACGTCGTCAAAGGATGCACATCTTTTGAGGACATAAGAAAGGTAAATGGAGATGTCTATAAATCATACAAGGCGGCGTGTGAAGCATTAGGATTTCTTGATGACGACAAAGACTGCTACACACGGCGGCGTGTGAAGCATCAAATCAGGCAACTGGAAACCAGCTACGAAAATTTCTGCACAACCATCTTATGTGACTGCAAGGTTACAGATCCAACAAAGATGTGGGAATCATGTTGGGAAGTTTTAAGTGAAGACATGGAATGCAAACAGATAAAAATCTTGAACTATCCTACACTACGTCTAACAGATAGACAGAAGAAAGATGGCAGCTTGCTAGAAATTGAAAAGCTTATGAGACAGCCTGGACAGACACTCAAGGAATACCCTGGAATAGAACTGCCAAACTCCACAGGACTAAAAGAACTTGGAAACAGGCTACTCAATGAAGAGCTGAACTACAACAAAGAAGAGCTAAAAGTTGAACACTAGGTATCTTTGTGTAATCTAAACAGCGAACAGCGGCGCGCATTTGGATACATAATAGAATCAGTTGACAAGGATCTGAGAAAACATTTTTTATAGATGGATATCGCGGTACAGGGAAGACTATTGAAAGCAATCACAACAAAATTACGTTCAGAAGGAAAGATAGTACAAGCAGTGACATCATGTGGTATTGCAGCGCTACTTCTACAAAGAGGTAGAAAAGCACACTCAAGGTTGCATATACCCTTAATCCTTACAGAAGAGTGAACATGTGACATCAAAAAAGGTTCACACGTGCCCGAACTAATAAATAAAACATCACTAATTCTGTGGGATGAGGCTCCAAAGGCAAACAAAATATGTTTTGAGGCACTAGACAGAACCCTAAGAGATATACTAAGGAATAAAAATTATAACAACAATGAGAGACCCTTCGGCAGCAT